GATTAAATCTAAGACCATTGTGTGCCTCATCAAAAATATTTAATATAATCAGTGACAAATGTATTAAAAAACTGTGGTGATATTGACAAAATATATGATAATGTATGAAAAAAGCTATGACAAAAATATATTAGAGATTTATAACAGAATCTATGACACATTTATGACACATTTGCGACAAATTTAAGACAAAGTATATGAAAACTCATATGACACATTTATGACAAAATCTATGAAAAATAAAAGAAGAAATATCTTTGTTATGACAAAATAGTTGAAAAAATTTAAGACAAAGTCTAAGACCAATTGTGTGACCAAATCTCTGAGAGATGTTTCACAAAATCTAAGACATAATCTTTGAGAAAATCTATGACACATCTATAGATGAAGTAAATGTAAACTGAACTATGACCTGCTAATTTATTGGCTGTAAAATCTTGTTTATTTATAAAACGTCAAGAATTTGAAGTCGCGTGGCATGAGCGGCTTGATGCAATCAATATGTGACAGCTATGTCACACGGCACTGCTAGAAATGCACTGGGCTCAATCCATGGAATGCACGTCGTGCTTTTCTTTCCAATCAATAAAACAGCTGCACACTTCTTACAAGGTCCATACCAATATAGTGGAAGCATGCTTTAACTAGGTTTTAACATACTTGCTAACCCAGACTGCTATAGTAGACACCAGGTTAGTCCTAATTCTAATTTACTTGCTAACTTAAACCTACTTAGTAGACACACGTTTAGTAATATTTCAGAAACTAGTGTGTTCATCTAACGTACCTGTGTCAGAGACACATCACAAATAAATGTTTCTGAGACCAATCACAAGATCTTGGTCAAAGTTATATTGTTCAGAGATGAATCCCAAATCTGTGTCTTCCATATGTATTAGAGACTCTGAACAAAGTAATTGTCCCTTTTCGGATGTATCACAAACTCATCACACTGTTTTGGTTATTCTACATTGACACATCACAAAGTCTTTGTCTGTTAATATTAGAGACACACAATATTAACATTTTCTTTCATTCTTTAAATATGAACAGTATTCCTAAACTACTTTGGCAAGGAAACTTACTTCAGACAAATCTGAAGGAAAACTTAGTTCAGATAAATTACCAAGAAAACTTGTTTCAGATAAATTAGCAATAAAAGTTAATTCAGACAATGTCAATGGAATGGGTTCTCCAGGAAAAAAAATAATTTAAAACCTATTTTAGAACCATTTTTAGTAGCAACTGGTCCTAGTCACGCTGACTGAAGACATTTTTCACGTCCCCAAACTGCTCTCGTTGCCCTCACACACGTCCACTCAAGTGGTTAGGAGCTGAGACAGCCAAACTCTACGATGTCCACTTTAAAGTCTCGCCTCGTCCACACAGCTCAGTCTTGAATCTCTTAAACCATATTAAATTGTCAACTTCTCAAGCTACGCACATCCAGAAGAATTGTCGAACAGAATACACTGTCTAACAGAATACATTGGTGAACAGAATACACTGTCTAAGAGAATACACTGTCTAAGAGAATACACTGTAACAGAATGCATTGGCGAACAGAAAACACTGTCTAAGAGAATCCATTTCTAACAGAATACATTGGCGAACAGAATACACTGTCTAAGAGATTACACTGTGTAACAGAATGCATTGTCTAAGAGAATACATTGGCGAAAAGAATACATTGGCGAACAGAATACACTGTCTAAGAGAATACACTGTCTAACAGAATACATTGGCGAACATAATACACTGTCTAAGAGAATCCGTTGTCTAACAGATTACATTGTCTATAATATTTTCTTTTTTTTTATACCCTCATTATTCAAATAATGTGTGTAAATTATTCCTATTTTATATATTATCTATCCATGTTTAAATTGTTCATTTTGGTTTCGGCATAAAATGTTTCGGGCAATTGAGGGTTGGCCGAAAGTAATTGAGCTTTCGATAGACTACGTTACAAGAAGTCAGACTATCACTCTGCAATCCGATGTTCATTATTTCTTGACGTCTTGCTGTCATCCTATTATATGACTAATCCTCTGTGAACAATACTTACAGCTTCATAATGACCTAATTGTCTAATATTTCCCAAAATAAAATATTTCGGGCAATTGAGGGTTGGCCGAAAGTAATTGAGCTTTCGATAGACTACGTTACAAGAAGTCAGACTATCACTCTGCCTGTCTGTCGGACGGCAATCCGATGTTCATTATTTCTTGACGTCTTGCTGTCATCCTATTATATGACTAATCCTCTGTGAACAATACTTACAGCTTCATAATGACCTAATTGTCTAATATTTCCCAAAATAAAATTTCAATTAGGCTTATGCAAAGGTAGACTAAATAGAATTGTGAAGGAAAAAAAGTGAATGGTAATATTATATTATTATTTTTGCAAAAAATTTTCAAAGATAAAATTTGTGAACCCTAGGTTTATTTAATTTATTCATTTGTAATCTGACATTCATTTTGATGTATTATTATTTTGCTCATGATTGTTGTCAAAGGTAAATAAAAACGGTATTAGGAAAAAACAATCCAATGGAATGATAATGTTTCCATTATTATTTTGGCTTTAAATTTTAAATTAAAAAAAATAGGTAACAATAGGCGTATTCGATTAATTCACTTATATAAATTCATCATATCATCCAGATAAACATTGTCATTGACAAAATAAAATAAACATTGTAATTCTTACAGTTTAAGAGTTAGTGTAAGAGTTTTAGTAGATGCATTCTTACAGTTTGGGGTTAGTGTAAGAGTTTTAGTAGATGCATTCTTACAGTTTGGGGTTAGTGTAAGAGTTTTAGTAGATGCATTCTTACAGTTTGGGGTTAGTGTAAGAGTTTTAGTAGATGCATTCTTACAGTTTGGGGTTAGTGTAAGAGTTTTAGTAGATGCATTCTTACAGTTTGGGGTTAGTGTAAGAGTTTTAGTAGATGCATTCTTACAGTTTGGGGTTAGTGTAAGAGTTTTAGTAGATGCATTCATACAGTTTAGAGTTAGGGTAAGAGTTTTAGTAGATGCATTCTTACAGTTTGGGGTTAGTGTAAGAGTTTTAGTAGATGCATTCATACAGTTTAGAGTTAGGGTAAGAGTTTTAGTAGATGCATTCATACAGTTTAGAGTTAGTGTAAGAGTTTTAGTAGATGCATTCTTACAGTTTGGGGTTAGTGTAAGAGTTTTAGTAGATGCATTCATACAGTTTAGAGTTAGGGTAAGAGTTTTAGTAGATGCATTCTTACAGTTTAGGGTTAGGGTAAGAGTTTCAGTAGATGCATTCATACAGTTTAGGGAGTCGTCCATTAATTAAGGCCACACTTTTTAAGAAATTTTTGACCTGCCTTGTCAACAACTGTCAAACTTTCAATGACTCCCCTATCTAATTATGTCAACATTTTATAACACCCCCCCCAAAAAAAAGGGGGTGGGGGAATTATATTATAAATACATTTATAAATACATTTTACTTTGTGCTGATCTATTTTAATGACAATAAAATTGTAGGAAAAACATTTCATTGTTAATCAACAAGTTAAAAAGTTTTTACACATAAGTTAAATTTTATAATGCAGACTCAATTGAAAGGTTGTTAAAGACTAAATATCATTGTTTGTGGTATAAATATGATTATCGTCTTATTAAAGCTGACAATTAAAGTATACTCTCTAGCTGCTATCATCTTCCCAAGGAGTAGCCGGGTTCGCTCTTTCGCTACAATGGACATAAGGGACATCGTTTGGGTAGGGCAGGGGGGCATTATCCCCCCCCCCCCCTTTTAATTTGCAACTTTATTTAAATTTCTGTGTACTGTGGCGCCTCAAGTAATAAACAAATTAACAAGCCGACCAAGTTTTGGTTTGGCCCCCGCCCCCTGAAAATAAAATGAAATGACACCCCTCTATAGCAGCTGATTGATTATTTTAATCTTGCGTCACTGATTTACCAGACAAGTCAACATCATCCTCATCTAACAATTCAGCACTTAAAATTGAAGCATTGTCGGTGTGAGCAATGATTGACACAGCTCTTTCTATCTCCTTGAAGCTACTCGCATTAGTTGAATCCATTGTTTAGGAGCAGGTGATAATTTCTTATGCTCAAAAGGACCTTGTGGGTTCTGTTGAACATGCTTTTTCAACATGACTTGTAATGCAAAACAGATGTTACAGATTTGGCAAATCCGTTCAAGCAGTGTTGCTATTATTGTTACTCACTTTACATCAGGGGTGGACTGGGGAGTCAAAGCGGCCCGCCAGGGGTGGACTGGGGAGTCAAAGCGGCCCGCCAGGGGTGGACTGGGGAGTTCAAGCGGCCCGCCAGGGGTGGACTGGGGAGTTCAAGCGGCCCGCCAGGGGTGGACTGGGGAGTTCAAGCGGCCCGCCAGGGGTGGACTGGGGAGTTCAAGCGGCCCGGGAAAAAAACAAAAAAGCGGCCCTATCTTCATGATTTTTATTTTTATAATATCACCGGTCCTAGCCGTCCATCTGGAATCTTCCCGGTGTCCCGGCGGCCCAGTCCACCCCTGCTTTACATTCACCTAGTTCTCAAAACATCGTATTCCTACTCTATCAATATCAATTATCTTGACTGCACATTATGATACTTGAACCTTGTCCTTGTTCCATAACTGCAATAGAATCTACAGGTGAAGAGAGGCCAAATTTTGACTTCTCTTGGACTAAAAAAGTGTGCTAACATTCTGACCAGCCATCTGCAATGCACAGACACACGTTAAATTAATCTTATATCTTTAAAAGCCTAAAAATTATATGACCCTTTACACTCATTTACATTTATTATTTTTTTAAAATAACCAGTCAATTTTTTACCCCCCCCCCTCCCCCTTGTCAACAACTGTCAAACATTTCCAATCCTCCCCCCCCCCCAATTGTGTTGACGTAATTAATGGACGCCCCTAGGGTTAAAGTTTCAGTAGATGTTCCTATGCAGTCAACGGTTCCCCTAATTTTATCTGTTGCAATGTTTCAGGCCAGGAGCAAAATCATTATGCTCAAAGTTTTAAAAGAGTTCAGGGGCCGTAACTCCACACGGCCCATGGCTGACCATGCTCGACATATGCATAGTAATGATCAAGGGACACAATCCATCGACAAGGGGACTCCATCGCTAGAGAAAGGGAAAGATATAAATACAAAAGAGGTTGGTATGAGTAATAGCCTATGCGTGTTTTGATGTCTCATCTGTTGTAGAATATGCTGTGATTACAACTATGAAAATATGTAGCAGTATTTAGGTAACATAGGGGGAACACACATATATATATATATATATATATATATATATATATATATATATATATATATTAAAATGAGCTATAGTGGCATAACGCCAAAGGAGCGATACGATTTAAGTACGTTCAGATTCCTAAAAGCAATCTTAGTTATTTTCTATTATTTTACGGAAATCGAATAAATTTAAATGCGCAAAAAATATTTTAATTCCCCTTTTATTTTAGTAAAAGTTTAAGTATTATTATTATCAATTACAAATACATTGAAAGTATCAACTAAATAACTATTTTAAGCATTTTATCCGCATTTAAAAGTTATGAAACAATTATTAATCAAAATATTATGATCTAAGACTTGCATCTGAATCATATTTATAGGGAAAACCCAAAATCTGTTAATCTTAGTGCGTATTTTAGTGCGTTGTTAATATTACGAAATAAAAATAAAATTAATTTGATCTAAATAATTACGCAAATGACGTCATAGCGCTATTGGCCTATTTTAGCCACAGCTCTAAGATTCTTTGATTTTAAAACCGTGCATGACAAAACTGATAATGCATTTTCCCCTTCTTAAAAGTAAAATTATTGAATATAATAGATAGCTTTTTAAATTGCTATAAATTTATAAATTAAAATAGACCTTTAGCTTTGTATTTTTAAGATTTAATAAGTTTTTTACACTTTATTCTTTCTAAACAAAAATTTATACAATTTATAAAATAATTTTAAAAATTAACCTTTACATATACTTTTAATACGAAAATGCTGTTTAATGACATCAGTGCAGCGAAACTACATATCCAAATATAATTCACTAATGCACTTATCACTCATCCAAATAAGAACAAAGTATGTGAAATGCAAAAAAAAAAAAAAAAAAAAAAAAAAAAAAAAAAAAAAAAAAAAAAAAAAAAAAAAAAAAAAAAAAAAAAATGTTTTTGCGTAGTAAGGTTGTTACAATGTCGTGGATAATTTTATACATAATTTTAAAAACTCTGTTTGGTTTGGGGGGGGGGGGTATTTATACGATACTTTCATTAGCCCAAGGCATCACAAGATACGCCTCAGAATGAATTTGAAAAATACTTAACCTTCTTAAGTACATATATATCGGGAGTAAGGAATAAGGTGTGTACAATTTTACGTAGATGACAATATTGCATTTTACCAATTAATAAAATCAATGATCTTAATAAAACGTAAGAACATATGCACAATTGTACCCATAAATATCAAAACCCATCATTTTACACAAGCGAAAAGTTAATTTTAAAAAAAGAAATGGGTTAAGACTTTCTTAGATAAGTAGATAGATGGACAGAGAGACATACAGACAGATAGATTAGAAAAAAATGATAGATAGATAGACAGAAAGACAGACAGACAGAAAGAAAGACGGAAGGACAGAAAGACAGAAAGACAGACAGACATCCGATTGCGATAAAACTTTTGTGAGTTGTAGTGCATACGCCTGTAAATTCTTTTGAATTATTTCACATATTTTACAATATTCTGTTTTGGGCCCAAAGCCCTCAATTCTTTTTTTTTTTCTGTCATACTGTCATGAGCTAATCATAATGGCTGTATGCTTTCCTGTACCTTTCACCCGATTGCGATAAAGTTCTGGTAATTTGTTGTGCGCAAGCCCGCAAATTGTTTTTTGTTCTTCTAGGAGCTATACACATAATTTCACACAGAGCTATTGCATGGGTGGATGTAATTTAATAAAATACAATTGACATTTCAGTTTGAGTTACATAATAATTACGTCTCTAAATTAGTACAACCATTTTACAATTTGGCGTTTGGGGTCGGGGGCCTTATTTTTTTTTTGAATGTATATGAGCTATATAAATATAATTTCAAACAGAGCTGCTGCATGGGTTGATCAATCTCTACAAGTGTGTGGATTAAATTTATCAAATCAATGCTTCTCACGTGGACAGCTTTGGCCTGTTCAAGCGTCGAAAAACCTTCTAATTTATTTGTGTGCGCACCAGACGGAAAAATAAATAAATAATTTCTATTTAAAAATTACTTTAAAAACGTAATTAAAACACAAACAATTTTTTCTTTGAGTGGCATTGCAACGCATGACGGGTTCTCGCTAGTTATATTATAGTCTTATCTGGTAACATATTTATTTAAATTATTATATTAAATGATATAGGCGATTCAATAATTATGTATATTTGGAGAGTACTAGAGGAAACTATTACCAGTCTGACTAATATGACTAGAGCTACAAATCTAGCAGCAACCAGGGTGTCTGATCTGTCTGTACCTGTATGACTAATGTAACCAGTGTACCTGAGTACCTGTATGACTAATGTAACCAGTGTGACTGAGTACCTGTATGACTAATGTAACCATTGTGACTGAGTACCTGAATGACTAATGTAACCAGTGTGACTGTGTACCTGTATGACTAATGTAACCAGTGTGACTGAGTACCTGAATGACTAATGTAACCAGTGTGACTGAGTACCTGTATGACTAATGTAACCAGTGTGACTGAGTACCTGTATGACTAATGTAACAAGTGTGACTGAGTACCTGTATGACTAATGTAACCAGTGTGGCTGAATACCTGTATGACTAATGTAACCAGTGTGACTGAGTACCTGTATGACTAATGTAACCAGTGTGACTGAGTACCTGTATGACTAATGTAACCAGTGTGACTGAGTACCTGTATGACGAATGTAACCAGTGTAACTGAGTACCTGTATGACTAATGTAACCAGTGTGACTGAGTACCTGTATGACTAATGTAACCAGTGGGACTGAGTACCTGAATGACTAATGTAACCAGTGTGACTGAGTACCTGTATGACTAATGTAACCAGTGTGACTGAGTACCTGCATGACTAATGTAACCAGTGTGACTGAGTACCTGTATGACTAATGTAACCAGTGTGACTGAGTACCTGTATGACTAATGTAACCAGTGTGACTGAGTACCTGTATGACTAATGTAACCAGTGTGACTGAGTACCTGTATGACTAATGTAACCAGTGTGACTGAGTACCTGTATGACTAATGTAACCAGTGTGACTGAGTACCTGTATGACTAATGTAACCAGTGTGACTGAGTACCTGTATGACTAATGTAACCAGTGTGACTGAGTATCTGTATGACTAATTTAACCAGTGTGACTGAGTGCCTGTATGACTAATGTAACCAGTGGGACCTGAATGACTAATGTAACCAGTGTGACTGAGTACCTGTATGACTAATGTAACCAGTGTGACTGAGTACCTGTATGACTAATTTAACCAGTGTGACTGAGTACCTGAATGACTAATGTAACCAGTATGACTGAGTACCTGTATGACTAATGTAACCAGTGTGACTGAGTACCTGTATGACCAATGTAACCAGTATGACTGAGTACCTGTATGACTAATGTAACCAGTGTGACTGAGTACCTGTATGACTAATGTAACCAGTGTGACTGAGTACCTGTATGACTAATGTAACCAGTGTGACTGAGTACCTGTATGACTAATGTAACCAGTGTGACTGAGTACCTGTATGACTAATGTAACCAGTGTGACTGAGTACCTGTATGACTAATGTAACCAGTGTGACTGAGTACCTGTATGACTAATGTAACCAGTGTGACTGAGTACCTGTATGACTAATGTAACCAGTGTGACTGAGTACCTGTATGACTAATGTAACCAGTGTGACTGAGTACCTGTATGACTAATGTAACCAGTGTGACTGAGTACCTGTATGACTAATGTAACCAGTGTGACTGAGTACCTGTATGACTAATGTAACCAGTGTGACTGAGTACCTGTATGACTAATGTAACCAGTGTGACTGAGTACCTGTATGACTAATGTAACCAGTGTGACTGAGTACCTGTATGACTAATGTAACCAGTGTGACTGAGTACCTGTATGACTAATGTAACCAGTGTGACTGAGTACCTGTATGACTAATGTAACCAGTGTGACTGAGTACCTGTATGACTAATGTAACCAGTGTGACTGAGTACCTGTATGACTAATGTAACCAGTGTGACTGAGTACCTGTATGACTAATGTAACCAGTGTGACTGAGTACCTGTATGACTAATGTAACCAGTGTGACTGAGTACCTGTATGACTAATGTAACCAGTGTGACTGAGTACCTGAATGACTAATGTAACCAGTGTGACTGAGTACCTGTATGACTAATGTAACCAGTGTGACTGAGTACCTGTATGACTAATGTAACCAGTGTGACTGAGTACCTGAATGACTAATGTAACCAGTGTGACTGAGTACCTGAATGACTAATGTAACCAGTGTGGCTGAGTACCTGTATGACTAATGTAACCAGTGTGGCGGAGTACCTGAATGAGTAATGTAACCAGTGTGACTGAGTACCTGAATGTCTAATGTAACCAGTGTGACTGAGTACCTGTATGACTAATGTAACCAGTGTGACTGAGTACCTGTATGACTAATGTAATCAGTGTGACCTGAATGACTAATGTAACCAGTGTGACTGAGTACCTGTATGACTAATGTAACCAGTGTGACTGAGTACCTGTATGACTGATGTAACCAGTGTGACTGAGTACCTGAATGACTAATGTAACCAGTATGACTGAGTACCTGTATGACTAATGTAACCAGTGTGACTGAGTACCTGTATGACCAATGTAACCAGTGTGACAGTGTACCTGTATGACCAATATAACCAGTGTGACTGAGTATCTGTATGACTAATTTAACCAGTGTCACTGAGTATCTGTATGACAAATGTAACCAGTTTGACTGAGTACATGTATGACTAATGTAACCAGTGTGACTGAGTACCTGAATGAGTAATGTAACCAGTGTGACTGAGTACCTGTATGACTAATGTAACCAGTGTGACTGAGTACCTGTATGACTAATGTAACCAGTGTGACGGATTACCTGTATGACTAATGTAACCAGTGTGACTGAGTACCTGAATGACTAATGTAACCAGTGTGACTGAGTACCTGTATGACTAATGTAACCTGTGTGACTGAGTACCTGTATGACTAATGTAACCAGTGTGACTGAGTACCTGTATGACTAATGTAACCAGTGTGACTGAGTACCTGAATGACTAATGTAACCAGTGTGACTGATTATCTGTATGACTAATATAACCAGTGTAACTGAGTACCTGTATGACTAATGTAACCAGTGTGACTGAGTACCTGTATGACTAATGTAACCAGTGTGACTGAGTACCTGTATGACTAATGTAACCAGTTTGACTGAGTACCTGTATGACTAATGTAACCAGTGTGACCTGAATGACTAATGTAACCAGTGTGACTGAGTACCTGTATGACCAATGTAACCAGTGTCACTGAGTACCTGTATGACTAATGTAACCAGTGTGACTGAGTACCTGTATGACTAATGTAACCAGTGTGACTGAGTACATGTATGACTAATGTAACCAGTGTGACTGAGTACCTGTATGACTAATGTAACCAGTGTGACTAAGTACCTGTATGACTATTGTAACCAGTGTGACTGAGTACCTGTATGACTAATGTAACCAGTGTGCCTGAGTACCTGTATGACTAATGTAACCAGTGTGCCTGAGTACCTGTATGACTAATGTAACCAGTGTGACTGAGTACCTGTATGACTAATGTAACCAGTGTGACTGAGTACATGTATGACTAATGTAACCAGTGTGACTGAGTACCTGTATGACTAATGTAACCAGTGTACCTGAGTACCTGAATGACTAATGTAACCAGTGTGGCTGAGTACCTGAATGACTAATGTAACCAGTGTGACTGAGTACCTGAATGACTAATGTAACCAGTGTGACTGAGTACCTGTATGACTAATGTAACCAGTGTGACTGAGTACCTGTATGACTAATGTAACCAGTGTGACTGAGTACCTGAATGACTAATGTAACCAGTGTGACTGAGTACCTGTATGACTAATGTAACCAGTGTGACTGAGTACCTGTATGACTAATGTAACCAGTGTGACTGAGTACCTGTATGACTAATGCAACCAGTGTGACTGAGTACCTGAATGACTAATGTAACCAGTGTTACTGAGTAACTGTATGACTAATGTAACCAGTGTGACTGAGTACCTGTATGACTAATGTAACCAGTGTGACTGAGTACCTGTATGACTAATGTAACCAGTGTGACTGAGTACCTGAATGACTAATGTAACCAGTGTGACTGAGTAACTGTATGACTAATGTAACCAGTGTGACTGAGTACCTGTATGACTAATGTAACCAGTGTGTCTGAGTACCTGTATGACTAATGTAACCAGTGTGACCTGTATGACTAATGTAACCAGTGTGACTGAGTACCTGTATGACTAATGTAACCAGTGTTACTGAGTACCTGTATGACTAATGTAACCAGTGTGACTGAGTACCTGTATGACTAATGTAACCAGTGTGACCTGAATGACTAATGTAACCAGTATGACTGAGTACCTGTATGACTAATGTAACCAGTGTGACTGAGTACCTGAATGACTAATGTAACCAGTGTGACTGAGTACCTGAATGACTAATTTAACCAGTATGACTGAGTACCTGAATGACTAATGTAACCAGTGTGACTGAGTACCTGAATGACTAAGGTAATCAGAGTGACTGAGTACCTGAATGACTAATGTAACCAGTGTGACTGAGTACCTGAATGACTAATGTAACCAGTGTGACTGAGTTCCTGAATGACTAATGTAACCAGTGTGACTGAGTACCTGTATGACTAATGTAACCAGTTTGACTGAGTACCTGAATGACTAATGTAACCAGTGTGCCTGAGTACCTGTATGACTAATGTAACCAGTGTGACTAAGTACCTTAATGACTAATATAACCAGTGTGACTGAGTACCTGAATGACTAATGTAACCAGTATGACTGAGTACCTGAATGACTAATGTAACCAGTGTGACTGAGTACCTGAATGACTAATGTAACCAGTGTGACTGAGTACCTGAATGACTAATGTAACCAGTGTGACTGAGTACCTGAATGACTAATGTAACCTAACCAGTGTTTCTTTTAAAAATTTTTACCCGGGGGACATTTCAAATTTTCGGGGGGGGGGGGTCCTGAATGACTAATGTAACCAGTGTGACTGAGTACCTGAATGACTAATGTAACCTAACCAGTGTTTCTTTTAAAAATTTTTACCCGGGGGACATTTCAAATTTTCGGGGGGGGGGGTGGGGGAGGGCTGTGCCATTTGCCAGTGGCCAGAGGCGTAGCTAAGGGATGGCAACTGTGACATATGTCCCGGGGCGCCAGACAATAGCAGAGTTTGTATCGTGAAAGGGAGGACGGCAAAAATGTTGTCCCCGCCATTGCGGCGCTAATAGAAGCTGCGCCACTAGGCAGTGGATCTATCATTACCGAAATAGGGGATCATTTTCAACGGGAGAGTAGGGCGGAAATTGAGGGTGCCGATGAATCTTGATCGGTGAAGGGGGGTCGGGGAGCCTGCTCTCCATAAAGTTTTTGATTATATCAAAATCAAGAGGGGTATTTTTGAGTGTATTTTAATTCAATGGCTTTATTTTACTTCTTTAACGGGGGAGGACATATTTAAGGTTTTGTGGGAGGCATTATTTAGCCCAGTGCCATACATGAACTGAATTCACTCTGTTTGTGGCGTGCCCCAGAGTAATCATTTGGCACACGCTTATAATGAACCCCATACTGTACCATTCATCAGCGTGAGTGAAAGGCTGCAGAAATTTAGGCTGCTAAAGACAGTCAGCAAACTCGAAATGCAGAGGTGCATTTTGGTGCATTTTGAATTTGTTGTTTCTTTCAGAAAGTGTTGAGGTTGAATTTCAAATTTTCGTGTGGGGAGTGCCAAAATTAGCCATAATAATGATCAAAGACATCTTAAATTCAATGTAACATTGAACAACCCAAAAAGCAAAATCAATGTTTAAGGAGAATATTCAAGGGAATTTTACAATAGACAAGGCCTAAGACAATGAGACTCACTGTCGTGTATGCTATTTAATCTGACATTAGAGAAAGTTATAAGAAGCATATATATTGACATCCGAGGAACAATAACAGGATACTTTCTGAGGGAAAACTAAGACCCACAACCAAAGGGCTCTCTCTACAATCAACTCCTTCATCTACCATCAACTCCTTCAGTATCTTGCATATGCTGATTACATAGCACTGCTAGGGAAAAAATATGAAAGACATAAAAAATCCTTATTGAATTAGAAGACGCATCACTACAAGCAGGGCTGGAAGTTAACAACCAAAAAAACTAAATACATGACTTTGAAAAGAGAAGAACTGACAAATGTTGCCATTAAAATTAGAAACCACACTTTTGAAAAAGTAAATCATTTCAAATACCTAGGATCTTTCTAAAATGAAAGAAACGAATTACTAACAGAAATAAAAGAAAGAATATTAGCCGGAAACAGGGCATACTTCTGTAGTCAGAAAATATTCAAAAGTAAAAACATTACAAGAGAAACAAAGAAAGCTATTCATAAAACTGTAATCAGACAAGTTGTAACAAACACAAGTGAAACCTTGACCCTAACAAAACGGCAGAAAACCTATTGAATACATGGGAGAGAAAGGTTCTCAGGAAAATACATGGACCAAAAAAGGATTAATATGGATGGAGAATAAGAAACAACTATGAATTGTACAGTCTATATCAGGATACCACGATAATATCAAAAGTAAAAAATTCCAGGCTACACTGGGCAGGATAAAATGCCATATGACAGAGGAGTGAAGCGGGTGCATCACCAAAAGCCCGGAGGAAAACGGCTCAAAGGTAAACCTCGGCTTAGATGGATGGATGATGTGGACAAATATCTAAAACAACGGGGAGCCAAGCATGGAGAAGAAAAGCATTATTTAGGTTTGAGTGGAAGGAAGTAGTGAGGCAGGCCAAAGGGCTGTAGCGCCACACGGAGGGATGGATGTCACCCTGGAGGGTACGCTTTTGTCCTAGCTTAATATCGCCTATTAAATCTTTAGAGTCCCCAGAAAAGGTTGATACATTTAAAATACACAAATGCATTTGATCACATATCTGAATTTAGATTTGCAACATTCTACACTTAATTGGAGAGCGACGGAAGAGATCCTAGTTTTAAAATGTAGGTGTCACATAACCTTAGAACCATCGTGTGCACCCAGCAACACCTACGATGCAGGGGCCTCGGATATTTTAGAGCAGTGGTTCTCAACCTTCCTAATGCCGCGACCCTTTAATACAATACCTCGTTTTGTGCTGACCCCCAGCAACAAAATTATTTTCGTTGCCACTTCTTAAATGTAGAATGTATATGTTTTCCACAGGTCTTAGGCGACCCCTAAAAAAGGGTCGTTCGACCCCCAAAGGGGTCGCGACCTACAGGTTGAGAACCACTGTTTTAGAGGTTCAAAGATGTGATGCGGATATTTTATTCATTATCATCTTCCAATGCAGGGTGGAATGAGCTGCTCGTGTTAGGCAAACAAAAATATTTGTATCCTTCTAAAAATAGTAATATGTCATTTATTTTTATTTACATTATTTGGGGCGATAGCTACTGAATTAATCAATTAATGTTCAATGCACTCACAAAATATAAAAAAATAATAAAGGATTCCATCACTAAAAAGCACTAAAAACATTATTTTATATGAAAAATAACACTTACTTATAATGATTAGACGAAATGTTTTCAAATTTTACAAGAGTCAAATCTGGTCCAAGCTATTGCGACTATTCCAGATCATCTGGCAGACAGAAACTGTACTACAGGACCTCAAAGATGCCTCCATTATCAACCTATACAAACACATAGAAAACCACCAGGCTTGCGACAATCACCGCGGGCAAGATCTTGGCCCGAGCCCTACTGAACCGCCTGAATGCTTATCTGGACCCAGGTCTTCTACCAGAAAGTCAATGCGGTTTCCGCAAAGAACGCGGAACTATCGATATAGTGTTTCCTGGCAGGCAGCTCCAAGAGAAATGTCAGAAGCAAAATAGGGAACTCTATTCCACATTTATCGACCTGAATAAGGATTTTGACAGGGTCATTAGAGGTGGCCTGTGGGAAATCATGAAGAAGTACGGATGCCCAGACAAGTTCACCAACATCATCCGTCAGCCGCATGATGGCCCAAGTGCAGGGCAACGGTCAGTCATCTCAAGTATTCCCTGTCACAAACGGTGTGAAGCAGGGCTGTGTCCTGGCTCCCACATTAAACCAGCTGCCATTCTGACTTTAAACAGCTGCCTTTCTGACATTAAACCAGCTGCCTTTCTGACATTAAACCAGCTGCAATTCTGAAATTACATCAGCTGTCATTCTGACATTACATCAGCTGTCATTCTCACATTACATCAGCTGTCATTCTGACGTTACATCAGCTGTCATTAACTCAGCTGTAGTTTAGACATTACATCCGCCGTAATTCTGACATTACATCAGCTGTCATTTAGACATTACATCAGCTGTCATTCTGACATTACATTAGCTGCCATTCAGACATTTCATCAGATGTCATTCTGACGTCACTTCTGCTTTAGATGATAACGTTCTCCTTAGTTACTTTGATATTTCTTTTAACAACTTATTCAGATGTTACTGAAATATTTCATCAACTGTACTATTTAGTTATCAGTATCATGACAGTAAATTTTCATGACAATTAGTATCACTGCTTACCTATAAGCATTTTGACATTATATCACATTTTGGCAGAAAGAGAATGTGTCCTCTTGTATGGAATAAAATTATATTAAAATCCGAAGACATTCATGAAAATCAATTGTGTTCAGTGTTCAAATTTTTTTCAAAATAAATCAATGCGTTGTACAGAAGAGGTCTCACACTTAAATTATCCGGGGGCCGCAGGAGGTAGAGACTTAGTGAGACTGAGCTGATTCAAGTATTTAACCAAAAAAGCGATGACATTTTCAATAAAGTACAACTGTTACAATCTGCTCAACCTTTATTAATAACAAATAAAATCATTACGGGTTCTCAAGAACTAGGCTTAGCGTTTTCTTCTTATTCCTTCTTCTTACACATCTGAGCAACAGTTAGCTTGAATGAGTAAGCTACTGAGCTTGAAGATGCTCATCAGAAAGTTTAGCCTTGAAACTTGACTCGTTACAGTTCATAGTGGAGCTTTTCACACAGAAAGGCACTGCCAAAAAGTTACATGATCCGCTGGAACACCCTGCAAATCTCACCTCCCTAAACTTTGAGTTTAGAATTTGCACTGAAGATCAATCAGCTCCATTTGAAGCGAAAAAACAAAAAAAAAGTGTCCACATTGAAGGAGAAAGGGTCAGCAAAAATTTGAAAAGTGGCTCTGTGTGTTTTGAAGTCTGCAAACATGTGATCAAATTCTTCCTGTAGCTTTGCAATGGCATCAGTTCACTTAATGCTGAATGGTGTGCCCGGGTCCATTAGTACTTTGCCTATTAGGAAATGGCAGAGATTTCTATGAGAACCATGACATACGTTTTGTTCAGAATGCCCTGACATTACCGACAACCTGAAAATGACCACGCTGACAATTCGGAATTTCCCTCACTCGTAAACACTAGCGGCAATTTTAATAGAGATTCTTTGATATTGTGTCAGATTGCTACGATTTACACAGATTAATTATACAACAATTTGTGTCAATATAACAATATAAGGTAAGCTTTAATGATAATTTTACAGAATACAAAATTATAGGTTTCGGCACATGCCTTCATCAGTACAACAAAAAGACAAATAAGTATAAATTAAATTTACATAATATAATAATATATATACAGATATCCTTCCTTAAAAAGGGGGGGGGGGGGGAATTGGAGTGGGCTCAAAAAAAAAAAACAGACAGAAGCAAACTAAAGTAAAGTGTAAAGGATGTGATTTGAGCAAAATTGTAAAAACCTAACAGGAAAAAGACATGGCAGCTAGGTAAAATTGTGGATTTAGTTTATTTCATATGGAGACAACGTACCAAATCGTGTTACTAATTTATTCTCCATGTATATCCTATCTGTTGTGCTACTAGTAGACATTATACCAGTGACTGCGGTGTCTGAGATACCATCATGGTTAGGGCTATTGAAATGTTTAGAGACCGGACAGAAAGCTTGTTTATTTATGTTATAGAGGTTTCTCTGAACCGGTCTCCAAGCCGACGACATGTCTCTCCTACATATACTTTACCGCACTTTTTGCAAATGATGGTGTAAATCACGATGCGACTTGTGCAGGTAAGCTGTCTTTTATTTTGAATATTTCCAGAGGGAAAGTGATCTTGTCAACCTCATTCACATAGCGACATGTGTTGCAACGGCTGTGGTTGCAACTGTTGGTGCCTTTATGTGCTTTAATAGCAGGGAGGTGGCTTCTAACTAGCATGTCCCCCATGGCTCTTGTCCTTCAGGAAAGCGAAAAGAGGAGGTTTTCTGAAAATATCATTGGTGACCGGGTCTGCAATTAGAATTGATCGGTTTTTCAGAACCAGAAATAAGAGCTTTAAAGTTATGGGGATGAATAGTTAAAATTAATTTAGACCTATCCATAGCGTCAGAACGAGTGGCTTTAAAAGAATCCTGTCTCGTCATGCCTTTAACTCGAGTGATAGCTGCTTTTAAAATTTGTTCAGGGTCGGAAAAAAATCCAACATTTCTGCCGTCCTTTCCCCAAAATCCTCATCATTGCTGCAGAGTTTTCTAAGTCTCAGCAACTGAGAAAAAGGGATGGAGTTTTTGCATGATTTAGGATGGGATGATGAATACAGGAAGAACCTATGGCTGTCTGTTTTCTTATAGAAAATGGACGTAGATATGATATGCTCTTTAAGATTAATTTTTAAGTCCAAACAATTGATAGTACTTTCATGGATCGTTGAAATGAATTTGATTGTTGGATGAAAATGTCCAATAAAGTTAATACAACTTTTCAGTTGTGTTATGTCCATATTTGTAATCCCTATGCAGTCATCTATGTATCTCTTGTAATATTCTGGGAAAGGGCTTTTGTAGTGTTCTCTCCAAAGATGTTCCAAATGGCTCTTAAATAGACATGCATAGCTTGGTCCCATTCTTGTTCCCATAACAACGCCACTGATCTGATATACTTTTGTATTCTGTAAAATTATCATTAAAGCTTACCTTATATTGTTATATTGACACACATTGTTGTTGTCTAATTAATCTATTTTAAAGCTTTATCGCAGTCCAACACTTTTTATAATTAGTTAATACGATTTACACAATTTTGTTTGAATTTTACCCAACCCCTTTTCTCAAAACCCCACTTTGGCCATATTTGTCCCATAAAATGCTATAAAATAAAAACTTTAAGACCGATTTTAAAAAGTTTTTCCATTAGAATCAATGTACAAATCTATACAAACATAATACAAAATCAGAATTAGACTAATCGATGAGATTCGACTGAAACCGTCGCGCAGGGTCACATTAGAGATATGAGAATAGGGAAATCGACTAAACTTTGATGTCGGGTATCGGGCCGCAAAATAGCATCTTGCGGGCCGCAAATGGTTCGTAGGCCGCGAGTTTGAGACCCCTGTTGTACATTAATCTCGGGAAATGCATTTCAAGGGCGTTTACACATTTTTAATTTTATTCGGTTTTTTGTTTTTTTTGCTGACGAAGGCTTCCTGTCGACACGTTTGATGTTTTGTTGCGTTCCTTTCTTCAGGTTTAATTCTGTCTTGTTTTACTCATTTTATATTTTAACACATTGTGGACACATTTACATTGGTTATCCATACCTAAAATGAAGTTGGAAAGGCGAACAAACTCGATAAGATTTTCTAATAAGGGCATTGTAATTTCTCCACTCTAACCATTTTCAGATTATATAGTTCAGAAGCGAGGCAGAGATTCTGTAAATGTTTAATGAATATACCTATATATTGACGAACGTTGATGCTCCATATATTCAAAACGAGTAAACATTTTTTTTTAAAGTTAAAGACATGATTTAATATGTTTTAATATATATTCTTTGTTGTTTATGAGCGTAAAAAATCGCATGTTGGTCCACATTAAATAGAAGGGAAAATGCTTAACGCCCAATGATGAGATACACGTAATTATCTCTATATAAATTTTTCTTTCAAAATAACGAAGGTCCAATTTACTCTTTCCTAAACATACGCTTTAAGTGCGTTGAATTTTGTCCAATAGTGTCCTTTTTTTTTCTTTCGATGATACAATACGTTAAAACTGGATTCTATTACATTAATAAAAATAGATTTTTTAGAACCTAAGACTTCGTAAAAGCATGTGGAAAGTAGCGCTATATGCCTTCCATTACTATCCCGGTAAGACCGGGTCATATATTCTAGTACTCTTTACGTGTGTGTGTATATACATTTGTATTTTTTAAGACAACATTTTTTTTTTTTTACTTCATGCGCTTAATCTGGCTTTATTTCTCTCTCAAGTGTCCTGGCTATCAATGTAAGATAGCCACGTACACATCAAGTGTCCTGGCTATAAATGTAAGATAGCCTCGTACACATCAAGTGTTCTGGCTATCAATGTAAGATAGCCTCGTACACATTGTTCATATTAGTACCAGGTTTGCAAGACTGTGCGTAACCCGGCCACGTTAATCAATAAATAATATTTGATATAGGCGTTATATAAACATACATTGTTAATAAAAGGGTGCCGGGGCTGTCACTCTGATCGGCTCTCGAGTGTAAGTGTGGAGGGGGTGGGGAGAGATGGATCTGAGAAGGGACTCATTTAGCCCCTCGGAAATTTTTTGATCAATTCAAAATGCAGGGATGCAGAGATTCATTTTGGAAATTAAGTTTTGTTTTTTCTTCCAATCTTAATCAAAAGATTTGCTATGGAAAATGTAGGTGTCTTTTGAGCCGATTGCTTGAACTAATACTTTATTTTAAGGTGTACCTAAATAATTTGTTTTTAAACTATTTCTTTTAACTACTTCATTGTTAAATGATTTGTTAAAGAAACCAGTCCAACACTATATATTGAAGGCATCATGATTTTATTAAAAGAATGGGTTTAAGGTAGTTTTAGTTGCTGTCTTCTAACTTTTCTACAGCAAAGAATAGATAAATAATGGTGAACATGTTGATTTGAAAGTTCCTGCTAAGAGACTTTAAACAAAAAATGTATACAAGAATGAGCTATGCTGACCGTAACGCCAAAGAACCTAAGGTATTAAGATATGTTTGGATTCTTAAAAACAATTATAGTTATTTTCTATTATTTTACGGAACTCGAATACATTTAAATTAGCAAAAATTATTATATATACACTTTTATTTTAGTAAAAGTTTAAGTATTATTATTATAAATCACAAATACATTTAAAGTAACAACTATGGAACTATTTTAAGCATTTTATCAGAATGTAAAAGTTATGAAAAAATTATTAATACAAATTATCATCTCAGAATTGCATCGTAATCATATTGATCGAGAAAACCCAAACATCAGTTATTTTTAGTGCGTTTTTAGTGCGTTATTAATTTTGCGAAATAAAAATAAAATTAAATTGATTTAATTAATAAAATTAGTAAAATTAATAAATATAATTGATTGTTCTTTAAATTGCTCAAATTAGCTAAAATTAAATACAACTTTAACTTCGTATCTTTAACATTTAATAAGTTTTACTTTTTATTCATTCCAAAAATATACTTTTATGAAATTTATAAATTAGTATAAACGTAACCTCAAATTATACTTTTAAAAAGAAAATGCCGTTAAATTCAATCAGCGCAGCAAAACCACATAGCCAAATAGGATTCACTAATGCACTTATCTCTCATCCAAATAAGAACAAAGTATGTGACATGCAGGAAATGGGTTTTTGCCGAACTAGGGAGTTACAATCGTGTGGATGATTTTATTAATCTCTTTTTAAAAACTCTTGGGGGGGGGGGGAGTAATACAATACTTTCATGTGCCCAAGGATGCCCAAGATACGCTTCAAAATGAAATTGATAAATAATTAACCTTATAAGGTACATATATCGGGTGTAGGAAATAAGATGAGTACATTTTTACGTGGATGACGATGTCTTTAAATCCAATCATAATACAGTTGTAAAAAATAGATGCTATATTCTCATTTTATCAATTATGAAAATCAATGACGTTAACAAAACGTAAGTACCTTTACATAATTATACCTATAAATATCAAAACCCAATAATTTTACACAAGTGAAAATTTAATTTTCAAACTACTAGAGATCGGTTAAGATATTCTTAGATAAATAGATGCTAAATAGATAGAGAGACAGGCAGACAGATAGATTAGAACAAATGATAGATAGATAGACAGACAGGCAGACCAGACCAGACCAGACAGACAGACAGACAGACAGACAGACAGACAGACGGACGGATAGATGGATAGATGGATAATGGATAGGTGGATCGGTGGGTGGGTGGGTTGGGTGGGTGGACGGACGGACGGACAAATATAAAAATTAATGCCCTCCTGTATATCATTCATCCGCTAGCGTTAAATCATTGGTGAGTTGTGGTACACACGCCCCTAAAATATTTCTGATTTATTACAAACATTTTACAATATTAGGTTTTATCCCGGGGCCCTAAATTCCTTTTTTTTAATGAGCTAAATATAATGTCCGTCTGCGTTCCTATACCATTCATCCGATGGTCATCAAACTTTGGGGAGTTGTTTTGCACACGCCCGCAAAGGTCTCTGAATTCGGTTATCAATTTTAAATAATCCTTTTGGGCGGGGGCCCTGAATTATTTTTTTCTTATATTAGCTATACAAATATAATTTCAAACAGAGCTATTGCACGGGTGGATGGAATTGAATCAAATTCTATTGACATTTCAGTTTTATGTAGGACATAAAATGAAGTTTCTGAATGAGTACAACCATTTTACAATTGTTGTGTTTGGGGCGGGCCGGGGCCTTATTTTTTAAAAAAGAAAATGTATGTGAGCTTTATAAATATTATTTCAAACAGAGCTAATGTATGGTCGTATCAATCGCTTTAAGACTAAATTTTGAACATCCATGCTTCTCACGTGGACAGCTGTATGTTACCTGCTCACGCATCGGAAAACACTCTTATTTATTTGTGTACGCATCGTAAGAAAAAAACAAAAAAATATTTTCTATTTAAAAATTACTTTAAAAAACGTCATTAAAACACTTTTTTTTTTGTTGGCTTGGCATTGCAACGCCGCCAGCCATTTTCTCGCTAGTATTAACAAAAAAGGTAAAAAATACCCACATTACTTTTTTTATATAAATAAAAAATAAAACAATTGTAATTGTATTATTATTATTATTTATTAATTGAATAATTTTTTTTCTATATAAAAATATAGACGCTGTAAATTGAGAGTCAAATTGCTATTGCTTCGCATTTCTGATCAAGCTGCACCAATATCAGCAGACTTTAAAAACCTGTAGTCACTGGTTTTTTTATAGGGTAATGTGGTCGCCTTGTTATTGCACACGTTCGTTGGCGGATCGCAGTTGCCCATTATTGTTCACCCCCACCTATCTCTACCCCAGTTACGAAAGCTATAATGTAAAGAGATTACATAGAGAGTAAAATAAAGAGTCAAATTATGTGGATGGAAAATGTGCCCCCCACACCCACACAAAATAAATTATAATTGTAAATTCATCCAGGGGAAAATCGTAAGTGGTACGGTCTTATAAAATATCATGTGGAAGTGGCCTAACTGTAAGAAACAGTTTGAAAAGTTTGCACATGGTGGTCGATCCCCAACCCCTTTTCCAAAAAAAAAAAAAAAAAAAAAGTTTAGAACACCCATGAGTTTCTGCAGAACACGAGCACCTGGTTTTAATAACCGGTTTCAAAACATATTTCTAACAAACAATAATCGGTTTGGCGAAATAAATAAAAAACGGTTTTAACATGCTAAAAACAGTAAACATCACATTAAAATTGATATCACCAACCATATACATCACACTAAAATTGGCGTCACTTAAAAACCATATACATCACATTAAAATTGATGTCAGTTACCAACCATATACATGACACTAAAATTGGCGTCACTTAAAAACCATATACATCACATTAAAATTGATGTCAGTTACCAACAATATACATCACATTAAAATAGATGTCACTTAACAACCATAAACATCACACTAAAATTGATGTCACTTACCAACCATATACATCACATTTAAAGTGATGTCACTACCAACCATATACATCACATTAAAATTGATGCCACTTACCAACCATATACATAACATTAACAGTGATGTCACTTACCAGCCATTTATATCACAATAAAAGTGAAATCACTTACCAACACTATACATCACATTAAAAGTGATGTCATTTACCAACGATATACATCTCATTAAAATTGATGTCACTTACCAACCATATAAATCACATTAAAATTGATGGCACTTAACAACCATATACATCACACTAAAATTGACGTCGCTTACAAACTATATATAGCACACTAAAATTGATGTCACCTACCAACCATATACATCACACTAAAATTGATGTCACTTACCAACCATATACATCACATTTAAAGTGATGTCACTTAACAAACCATATACATCACATTAAAATTGATGTCACTTACCAACCATAAGCATTATATTAAATGAAATGTCACTAACAACCAAATACATCACATTAAAACTGATCTCAATTACCAACCATATACATCACATTAAAAATGATGTCACTTACCAACCATGCTAATCCAAATTAAAAGTTTTGTCACTTACCAACCATATACATCACATTAAAAGAGATGTCACTTAGCAATCATATACATCACATTAAAAGTGATGTCACTTACCAACCATATACTCACATTAAAATTGATGTCTCTTAACAACCATATACATCACATTAAATGTGATGTCACTTACCAACCATTTACATCATATTAAAATTGATGTCACTTACCAACCATAAACATCATATTATATGTAATGTCACTTAACAACCATATACATCACAACTTAAATGATGTCACTTAACAACCATATACATCACATTAAAAATGATGTCATTTAACAACCATGTATATCCCAGTAAAAGTGATGTCACTTAACAACCATACACATCACATTAAAATGATGTCGTTTACCAACCATTTACATCACATTCAAATTGATGTCACTTACCAACCATATACATCACATTCAAATTGATGTCACTTAACAACCATATACATCAAATTAAAAATTTTGTTACTTACCAACCGTAAAAATAACACTAAAATTGATGTCACTTACCAACCATATACATCACATTAAAAGTTATGTCATTTACCAACCATATACATCACATTAAATTGATGTCACTTACCAACCATATGCATCACATTAAAATTGATTTCACTTACCAACCATATAAATCACATTAAAAATGATGTCACTTACCAACCATATACTTAACATTAAAAGTGATGTCAATTAGCAATCATATACATCACATTAAAAGTGATGTCACTTACAAACCATATACTCACATTAAAATTGATGTCTCTTAGCAACCATATACATCACATTAAATGTGATGTCACTTACCAACCATTTACATCACATTAAAAATGATGTCACTTACCAACAATATACATCAAATTAAAAATGATGTCACTTACCAACCATGTATATCCCAGTTAAAGTGATGTCACTTAACAACCATACACATCACATTAAAATGAAGTGGTTTACCAACCATTTACATCACATTCAAATTGATGTCACTTACCAACCATATACATCACATTAAAATTGATGTCACTTACCATATATATCACATTAAAATGATGTCACTTACCAACCATATACATCACATTAAAAGTTATGTCATTTACCAACCATATACATCACATTTAAATTGATGTCACTTACCAACCATAGGCATCACATTAAAATTGATTTCACTTACCAACCATATACATCACATGAAAAGTGATGTCACTTACCAACCATATACTTAACATTAAAAGTGATGTCAATTAGCAACCATATACATCACATTAAAATGATGTCACTTACCAACCATATTAATCACATTAAAAATGATGTCACTTACCAACCATTTACATCACATTAATAGTGATGACACTTATCAACCATGTATATCACATTAAAAGTAGCTGGCTCTTGATTTTAAAAAAAAAATATTATGAGTTTATGGCAGCAAGAGGAAGGTGTGCAGAAAATGTTTTGGAGCCACCGATCTAGAGATTCGCCAACCTTCGTATTTTAGAAATGGTTCGGTCGAACGCATCAAATCTCAAATGGAAATAATTCCCACATCTGTTTAACTCAGAGAATCAATACTGCAATCATGCTTTAAAAAATACATGTGAATTTCAAGCGAAATAAATTTGAATTCAAAAAACATAATGAAGGAAACTTCCAGCCACATTGACTAGGATGGGAAGAACCATAGGAATAAATTAGAGGCGAAGAGAAAAATTATCCCGTTGAAAATGAAATGTAGGACTAATTATTTAAAAGTAGGCACCAAAGAATGTGACATTATTATGAGATTGATTGAGGCAGTAATTAGTAAATTGAATAATTGATATTCTTTTTATTTAGAGATTTTTCATCATCGAAACGATTAAAAAAAATTTTTTTAAAGCAAAGTGTTTTATTGAAAACAATTTAAAAAGATTGTGTTCATAGTTGTAATTATTCAATTGTCTGGAAGAACGGTGACTTTACTGAAATCACTACAATGTCTCATCACGATGTGTTTGCTTTTTGTGGGCTCCATTTCAAGAATCTTTTGGGTAGGATGGAGGTAGCTTGTACAAACTCAAGGGTATGCAGACAAATCATTATCCTGTGTGATTTGAATAAAACTGTGTCAAAATGTTTAATTTATATATATATATATATATATATATATATATATATATATATATATATATATATATATATATATATATATATATATATATATATATATACATACATATATATATATATATATGATTTATATGGCATGATTATACCTAAAATAATGTTCTTAATATTGCACAGCAATATACGATATCTAGACCTCAGTTAGAGCGAGATGGAAGTGACAGATCACTTGAGCAAATGGCCATCGTACCCTCTAGGATGTCCAGAGACAGGTCAAAATGGATTATTCTTCATTACTCCCCATTTAAGGTAAGTTGCATTGTCATAATACTGATCTAGGGATTTATTGTACAACAGGGTATCTTAATGCTGTCGGTCTCAACGATGCTTATCTCAAAGATATTTTGTCTCAATGATGGGGTCTCCTTGATTTTTTTCTCACTTATTCAATGCTGGCGGTCTCAACGATTTTTTCTCATTTTTGTTGGTGACAATTATTTGGTCTGAATGATGTTTCATTCAATGGTGTTTGTCTCAATGATGTTTTTCTCACTGATGTTTGTCTCATTGATGTTTGTCTCATTGATGTTTGTCTCAGTGATGTTTGTCTCAATAATGTTTCATCTAAATGATGTTTGTCTCACAGATGTTTGTCTCACTGATGTTTGTCTCAAGGATGTTTGTCTCACTGATGTTTGTCTCAATGATGTTTGTCTCACTGATGTTTGTCTCAATGATGTTTGTCTAAATGATGTTGTCTCAATAATGTTTCATCTCCATGATGTTTGTCTTAAAAATGTTTGTCTCAATGATGTTGTCTCAATAATGTTTCATCTCAATGATGTTTGTCTCAATGATGTTTGTTTCAATGATGTTAGTCTCAATGATGTTTGTCTCAATGATGTTTGTCTCAATGATGTTTGTCTCAATGATGTTTGTCTCAATGATGTTTGTCTCAATGATGTTTGTGTCAATTATGTTTGTCTCACTAATGTTTGTCTCAATAATGTTTGTCTCACTGATGTTTGTCTCAATGATGTTTGTCTAAATGATGTTGTCTCAATAATGTTTCATCTCAATGATGTTTGTCTTAAAAATGTTTGTATCAATGATGTTGTCTCAATAATGTTTCATTTCAATGTTTGTCTCAATGCTGATGGTCTCAGTGATTTTGTATCAATGTTGTTAGTCTTCCAGTAAGACCAAACACTGTTTATCTTAGGCTGTCTGGGATTGGGTTATACTGCTGTTAGTGCTGTATACAGCTGTGTTCACACCTTACGCCGCAGCCTTCCTGTTGAAAGAAGATGAAATTCGCATGAAGTTGAACATGGCACCAGGCTCTAGGTATGAAGTGATATCAAATAAACTAATATTTACATTAAAACTTAAGAGAATAAGACATCAAGTTAACTAATATTTACATTGAAACTTAAGAGAATATGATATCAAGTTAACTAATATTTACATTGAAACTTAAGAGAATATGATATCAAGTTAACTAATATTTACATTGAAACTTAAGAGAATATGATATCAAGTTAACTAATATTTACATTGAAACTTAAGAGAATATGATATCAAGGAAACTAATATTTACATTAAACAGAGACTACGACATCATGTAAACTAAATTTACATTAGCAACCATATACATCACATTAAAATGTTTTTTTTTGATGAGGAATCTTTCTTTGACTATTACATTATTAGTCAAGTAAATCCTCAACAAACTGTGATTTATAATCTAAAATGTCACCATTGCTGAACAAGGGATGAGCCAAAGTCACTGTCTTCAATATGTTTAGCTAATTTTTGTTACCACTTCCTGTCTTACTTGAAGCGTAGCAAAACTCTATTCCTGTGTGTGCTCTCAGACTGAAACACACGGAGTGACTTGTGGTATGTTCAAATACAATATTACACTATATAAAATTTTGGTAACGGCTCTGGTAAATAAATTGTTCATTTGTGATGCCGAGAGACCAGAAATAGGCCTTATATTTGACAATTTGGACTTCAGTAGGAAGACAGTTTTCCGCATAGCTGGTACTGCTCACTGTGTGTTTATAGACAGTTTACATAGAGCATCCCAATCATGCTCTACTCAGAGGCCCTTAGGCCGTCAGAAACTGGTACTATTGTATCTGGCCTGCATCCTCCTGGCAAATTCGTACTCTCCTGAACCTAACCCTGGACCGAACGTTACTACTGGTGCTGGTGGTTCTCCCTTGCATACCCCATCAAGTTCCAAATCCCAGTCATCATGGATCTGCGGAGCATGTGACCATGTTGTACGTGTGGAGGACAGAGGCGTTACATGTGAACAATGTGGGAAATGGTTCCATCGTCAATGCCAAAGCATCGACACTTCTAATTACAACCAACGTGCTAAAAATTCTGACGTGCCATGGCACTGTACTGTCTGCGGCTGCCAGATTAGCCAGTCTGTGTTTGACCCACATAGTGCAGGGACAGACTCTACCTTCCCAGATTTCTCTCTGAATCACTCAATCTCCACACCAAGAGACATTCGAAGTTTTCAACCACCACACTGCTCTACTCCTATGCGCTGCAGTCAACAAGACAATGGAGACACAGGCCATTGCGCATATTGAATGTAAACTTCCAGTCTGCAAGTGAGAAGAGAGTAGAGATAGCAAACCCAATTAACAGCCTAAAACCCGACATCATCTTGGGCACAGAAACATGGCTGAATCCCTCCATAGCAAAGCAGAGGTTGTACCAGATATATACAAATTATTTCGTCGAGACAGAAAAGACAGAGGAGGAGGAGTGCTTGTTGCTGTCCATCACAACCTGGACTGCCACGCTGTTCCAGAACTATATGTTGACGACTGCGAGATCCTGTGGGTAAAATTGAAACTAAAGGGTAGACGCACACTTTACGTTTGTGCCTATTACCGACCAAACACAGCAGATGAACCAAGCCTGAGGAGGCTCGAGGTATCGCTTCACAGAGCAACACAGTCAAAAACCGCTTTTCTCCTTATAGGGGGGATTTTAACTTTCCTGGTTGGAATTGGCAGATTCCTGCCTTGAAGCCCAAGTCCCCATACCCTGTTCTACACTCAGAATTCATGGAGATAATTAACAACCATGGTCTGGAACAGCTGGTTAAAGAACCCACGAGGGGGGAAAACACTCTTGACCTACTCCTCACCAATTGTCCACATCGTGTCCAAAAAGTTGAGGTCATCCCCGGGATTTCGGACCACAGCATTCCTTATTGTGAATTTCAGGTCAACACACTAAAAATGAAACAAATCATTCGAGAAATCCCAATTTATGCCAAGGCAGACTGGGATGGCCTAAGGATTGCAACCACAGAGCTAAGCTCAAACATGAAGGTGATTCAAGGTACAGCGACAACAGACGAGCTGTGGGTGAAGTTCAAGACTACAATCACTGATGCAGTGAAGAAATTTATACCACACCAAATCACCAAACCTAGGATAAATCAGCCATGGGTCACGGCTGAAATCCGTAGGCTCATCCACAGGAGAGACCGCCAATACAAACGCATGAAGAAAAATGGCTCGATGGAACTGAGAGAGGAGGTACTGAGACTCCGCCGAACCATTCAACGCTTATTGCGTAGATCGTATTGGAACTACATGAACGGCATCTTCTCAGAGGAAGACACCCCGACCAAAGATGTCAAGAACAAGCGCTTCTGGAGCTATGTGAAACACCAAAAGTCCTCAAACGCTGGAGTTTCCCCCTTGAGGTGGGATGGCCAATTGACATCTGACCCAAAAGCACAGGCGGAGATACTCAATCAGCAGTTCCAGTCGGTCTTTGGTGACGGTAGAGAGTACTCTGAGACTGAGTTCCTTCTGAAGACCAAAATGATGAACAGAGCCTACCCTATCATGGGAGATATCCAGATATCAGAACAAGGTGTGTTTGCCCTCCTCAATACCATTAACCCTTACAAAGCATGTGGTACTGACAACATCAAACCACGAGTGCTCAAAGAATTAGCCCAAGAAATCGCTCCTGCACTGACAATCCTCTTCCAATCGTCACTATGCACAAGAAATGTTCCAGCAGACTGGAGAACAGCGCATGGCACTCCAATTTACAAGAAAGGGGAGCATTCCGACCCTGCCAACTATCGTCCGATATCCCTCACCAGCGTCGTCTGCAAACTGTTGGAGCACATAATCGTAAACACAGTCGTGAAGCATCTTAAAAGCCAAAATATACTCAATGACTGTCAACATGGCTTCCGAGTCAATAGATCGTGTGAGACCCAGCTTCTCGAATTTGTAGAAGACCTGATGACCAATCTGGAGAACCACAAGCAGCCTGACGTGCTAGTAATGGACTTCGCAAAAGCATTTGACCGTGTGAATCAAAGTTTGCTTCTACACAAACTCCAGAGATATGGGATTCAAGGCACCACTAAAACATGGATCTCTAGCTTCCTCAGCCACCGACGCCAAGCAGTAGTGGTGGGCGATACAAGCTCCTCCTTTGTTGATGTGAAGTCAGGGGTCCCCCCAGGGATCAGTCCTGGGCCCCTGTTTGTTCCTAGCATACATTAATGACCTACCGGAGAAACTGACATCACAGGCAAGAGTGTTCGCAGATGACACAGCAGTGTTTAGGACGATCGCCAACAGATCTGACCAGGACCAGCTACAACAGGATCTCAATCTGTTAGCTGAGTGGGAGATGAGCTGGGACATGGAATTTCACCCTGCCAATTGCCAGACACTATCAATCTCTAGAAGTTGTACTCCTCTACACTACCAATACGAACTGCAAGGCCATATACTTGAGCAAGTTTCCTCCGTAAAGTACCTGGGTGTTACCATTCAAAGAGAGGTCCGCTGGGACGAGCATATTAACAATGTATGTAACCAAGCAAACAAGACCCTAGGGTTCTTAAGGTGAAATCTAAAGATTGGCAACTCCTGTGTGAAAGAAAGAGCATATAAAGCCTTTATCCGTCCGATTTTAGATTATGCATCTTCAATCTGGGACCCATTTACCCAGAAGAGCATTGACAGGTTGGAGGCGGTCCAGCGACGAGCAGCACGCTTTGTCCTAAACCGCTACAGGAATACCTCTAGTGTTGGCAGCATGCTAGAAACACTAGGCTGGTCACCATTGGAGAAACGACGACGACAATCCAGGCTCTCCATGATGTACAAGATAAATAATGGGCTGGTCCACTGTTCCAGTATTAAACAGAAACTCGTCCCTCTCCCCCATAGACAGCGACGAGGCCATGACAGGCAATTCAGGCTCATACCTGCAAGAAGCCAGTATAGGAGCTGCTCATTCCTGCCCAAGACAATCAGGGACTGGAACAATCTTTCAAAAGGAACGGTTGAGGCGACAACACTAGACACATTTGTGTCTATTGCCTCAAGCCTTCAAACCCCTAGTGCATGATTTCCTCATCAACACCAGTAACAGAAACATTGCAAATCCCATCTACATGCATAGGAGTCAAAATGATCAATAAATTGATCGTGGGCCCTTAAGAAAAAGAAGTAAACTAATATTTACATTGAAACACATCAGGTAACTTAATATTTTCATTGAAACTTAAGGGACTAGGATATCAGTAAATTAATATTTACATGGGAACAAGCCACTTCTAAAAGTGTAGATATTTAATCATTGGTATCATATTGATCAACTAGTTTCAAGCATATGTGTAAATATTGTATGCAACAAATACGTCAGTTCTTTTGATAAGTTGCACCCACTCTCCCACACTACAGAAACACCAATGCTGACACCATCCGAATTGACCCTCTGGTCATTGTGGACCTGATGGTGGACCTTATGTTCATAGCCGACATACTTATCAACTTTCGGACAACGTATGTGGAGAATGGTGAGGTGGTGAGCGACCAACAGAAAATAGCCATCAATTACGTCAAAGGTTGGTTCGTCATAGATGCCATAGCTGCCATTCCATTTGACCTACTTCTGTTTGGATCAGGGACCAGCGATGTAAGTTAGACTCATTTCTTGGTTCCACCATCTCATCCTTTATGACTTTCTCTTTCGAACGTCTCATTCATTCTCACATTTTCTTCCAATTGTTGTATTGATTATCATCGTTTCTTTTTATCATCTTAATCATTCTTACCTTTTCTTTCTATCATATCACACGGTTTCTTACCTTTTCTTTCTATCATCTAACCAATTTTTACATTGTAACTTAAGAGAATATGATATAAAGTAAACTAATATTTACATTAAAACTTATGAAATATGATAAAAAATGTCTAACTAAGTGTCCCCTCGTCTGAATAGTATTAAGTGTTTAGAGATTGCCTACCTTTCTTCTAATTAGCTCAGACACCAAGGACATCGTCATGATAACATGTTTGTTTATTTATGACTTGAACCTCTAATTCTCCATAATTCCATCAATGTTTTCAGAATAAAACGCTAAATAACCGTGAATACTATGTTATGTCAGCCGCTCAGTCTTGGGTCACAATACACACATGACAAGAGGAAGTGGGAATATGGAAAGGAAAGTTTGGTGGTATTGGTAATATGGGAGGTGGAAGATAGGTGATTATGGGGGATATGCGTGCGGTGGGAAATTGCTCATATTTACTATGTTAAGGTAAGAGTGGTAATATTTGTTTGATGGGGAAGAAATATTGGTGACATTAGGTAATATGTGAATGAAGATGATATTTTGTGTTATGGTAAATAAATATTTAGTGGTTGCTGGTGAAACGTGATATTTGTAGAGAATCCAAACTCAAATCCCCATTGTGCCTGAATTAATTAGATAAGACTCTGACAAGAACTAACTATGGTTAGATACTACCTACCTAACAGGACTATTGTTTCATCAACTTTTATATTGACCATTGATTCCAGTTACACTGTGGTCTTTATGGAGCCTAGGATGATCCACATATACTTTATTATTCATGTGACTGAATAAGCCACGTTACTGAATATTTTATTGACACTGCAGATCACGTGATAGAGAGCAAGAAAGAGAGAGAGAGAGAGGGAGAGAAAGAGAGAGAGAAAGAAAGAGAGTTTTACAAACAAAATCAATGAACATTTGACGTGTTTCCACTTGTTATTTGAAAAATAACACATTCTTAAATTGAAAACACGTACACGATTAAATAATGAACATTATGCACACACAAATAATTTTTTACACACATAGCTACCATGTACACACATTTATAATATTTAATTACATATATATAAATTGATATCATTGATAACATAAAGTCAATCAGATATCACGTAAACACAAATATCATGTGAAAACACATTGATAATTGAAATCATAGGCTAACCCAATATTAAGTTTATTTATGATTTTATTTGGAACAGTTACCTATCATATTTTTAAAAAAAGGTTGTTATTTTCAGCTTGCATATCATTACGTTAAGAGTTTGCATTGCCACTTTGTGTTGTCTGTATTACGATTTGATTCATCTTCAATTAATTTGATATCACTTTTATTTCCTGGCAATTCTCCTTGAAAAGCTGCATGTCGAGGTAGGTGTGTGTTCTTGACGTCACATTATGTGCGCTACGTCATCGTCTAGTGTTGTTGGACGTCGAAACACGTGCAATATGTCATGATATAATCAATAACATTATGTAATTTAAAGGACAAATGGACACGCCCATTAGAACTTTAAAACAGTAATTAATGGAAACTACCCAACCTATCGAATGAATAGGAAACTATCTAAAATGTGTTATGAACAAACAAACATAAATAACCACATACATCCACCATTGTTATTTATTCAGAATATCCACCAGGGTTTTCTAACACATAAATTCACTAGGTCTTATCAAACTCCGAGCTCCGCATCCAGTATGCCACGTGGTGATGATGGGTGTGCCACGACATGATGCTAGATGTGCAACGTCATGATGCTATGTGTTCTATGACATGATGCTAGATGTGCAACGTCATGATGCTATGTGTTCTATGACATGATGCTAGGTGTGCCGCGAAAAATGTTACGTGTAGAGACCGACCGAAAGTGATTTTCTGATTTCGACCGAGGCCGAAAATAGGCCGAAAGTTTAAAATGACTTTCGGCCGGAACCGAAAAAGGCCGAAAGTTAAAAATGAAATTCGCCCGAAGCCGAAACCGAAGCCTAAACCGAAAATGAAATGTTAAGATATTTTGAAATTCGTTCCCGCATACATTCTGCATACATCGAAAATGATGTGGGAAGGTATAAATATTTACATTCTTTTTATAAAAAATTAGATAATCGTGAATATTAATAAATAAAAATCTAATATAGGGGTCTCAAACTCGCGGCCCGCGAGCCATTTATGACCCGCAAGACGATATTTTGCGGCCCGCTACATGACAGAAAAGTTTAGTGTTAATGCGCCGGCCCGTTTCCCCCATTCTCATATCTATAACGTGACTCTCCGCGACGGTTTCAGTCGAATCTCACCGACTAGTCTAATTCTGATTTTTTTTTTTTTAAATTTTCTATATATTTTTGTATGCAACGGTGGATGAAAGTGAATCCTAGTTCTTGAGAACCCTTAATGATTTTATTGTTATTTATAAAGGTTGAGCAGATTGTAACAGTTGTAATCGCTTTTTTGTGTGGATTACTTGATGCGGCCCACTCTCATTCAGACACTACCTCCTGCAACCCCCCCCCCCCCCATGATTTGAGTTTGAGACCCTTGATCTAATGAATACTTTGGTTTTTCCCTTTTTAATATAAAAGTATTTTAAATTTTTTTACATTTTTAAAAAAAAATGGGGGGGGGGGGGGGGGGATGAGGATGGGAAATTAATGCAAAATATTATTTTTTTAAACAGGGTCTCTAAAAAATGTGGTTCTAAAAAATCGCTTAATTTGTTTTTAAAGGTCGTTTAGTTGTTTGTTATTGATCGGTTAGTTTGTTCTTAAAGATCGGTGAGTTTGTTGTTAAAGATCGTTTAGTTTGTTCTTAAAGATCGTTTAGTTTGTTGTTAAACATCGTTTAGTTTGTTGTTAAAGATTATTTAGTTTGTTGTTAAAGATCGCTTAGTTTGTTGTTAAAGATCGTTTAGTTTGTTCTTAAAGATCGCTTAGATTGTTGTTAAAGATCGTCCAGTTTTTGTTAATGATCGCTTTATTTGTTCTTAAAGATCATTTAGTTTGTTCATTAATATCACTTAGTTTGTTGTGAAAGATCGCTTAGTTTGTTATAAAGATCGCTTATTTTTTTCATAAAGATCGCTTAGTTTGTTCTTAAAGATAATTGATTTTGTTCCTTAAGATCGATTTGTTTGTTCTTAAAGATCTTTTAGTTTGTTCCTAAAGAACATTTAGTTTTATGTTAAAGATCGCTTAGTTTATTCTTATAAATCATTTAGTTTACTATTAAAGATCATTTGTTTTGTTCTTAAAGATCATTTAGTTCCGTCTTAAAAATCATTTAGTTTTTTCTTTGAGATCGCTTAGTTTGTTATAGATCGCTTAGATTGTTCTTAAAGATCACTTATTTTGTTTTAAAGATCGTTTATTTTGTTCTTAAATGTCGCTTAGTTTGTTGTTAAATATCATTTAGTTTGTTCTCAAAGATCGCTTAATTTGTTCTTAAATGTAGCTTAGTTTGTTGTTAAAAATCGCTTTTGCTGAGTATTAAATGACCGTAAATCTAAGTCAATTTCGGCTGAAACCGAAAAAAAACCGAGAATTAACATTTCTCTTTCGGCTGAAACCGAAATTAAGCCAAAAGTTAACTTTTCAGTTTCGGCAGAAACCGAAACTTGGCAGAAAGTGATAAAATGGCCACTTTCGGCGCCGAAACCGAAGCCGAATATCGGTCGGTCTCTAGTTTAAAATGCCTATAATCTTTCCGGTTGAATTACAAAAAAATTGTAAACTTTAAAAAATTTCTTAAAATCCAAGTAAAAGTGTGCCAATAGTTTAATGTATGCCTATAATAGGTAGAAAACTGAATAAAAATAACAAATATTAATAACAGGAATATTTTGTAAATGGCCAGTGAGCTAAGTTAGTTAATATAAAGTCAAAGGTTCTATCTCCAATATGACTAATTTTTATTTTTTAAAAATTATTTTGACTGATTGTTACAGAGTTGAATGCACATATAGAATTATAAATAAGTGGAGGCTAATTTAATTGTAATTTTTGCGTTTAACTTGTTGTGCTCAATAAAATTCCTTAGATGGTTGTCCATTATTTATTTCAACAAAAAGAGGGGGAGGGGGTTTGGAAATGTTTGTCGATTGTTGACAAGGGAGAGGGTCTAGACGTCAACAATCATGTTTTTTCTTTTAAAGTTTTAGTCTTAAAAATTGACTGGTTATTACTAATTATTACATTATTTTAATAAATTTAATGAGTGTAAATAGTTATATAATTTTTAGACTTTTAACAATATAAGATTTATTTAATGAATGTCTGTCTGTGCACTGCTGATGGTTGGTCAGAATGTTAGCACAATTTCTTAGTGCAAGAGAAGTCAAAAGTTGGCCTCTCTTGACCTATTTGGTCGTAAAAGACTAGTGCGGTATGTTTGCAATCATGTTGCAGGTATGGAACAAGGACATGGTTTAAGTGTCATGTGCAGTCAAGATAAACGGTATTGATAGAGTAGGAATACAATATTTTGAGAATTAAGGGAAATTAAAGTGAGTAACAATAATGACATTGCTGCTTGAACGGATTTGCAAAATCTGTAACATCTATTTTGCATCCCAAGTCATGTTGAAATAGCAAGTTCAACAGCACCGACAATGCATTCTTGAGCATAAAATTTACCACCGGCTGCTCAACAAAAAAAGGATTCAACTAATGCAAGTAGCTGCCAGGAGACAGAGAGAGCTTATGGCAATTATTGCTCAAAATGACAATGCTTCTATTATAAGTGCTGAATGGTTAGATGAGGGTGATGTTGACTTTTCTGGTATATTAGTTCCGCAATATGAAAATACTATGCCCATTGTTACTATAAAGCAACACCTGCCTA